TGTGAACAGTGCTGCAATGAACATGGGTGTGCATATATCTATTTGTGTGACAGCTCTTATTTCTCTAGGATGTATTCCAAGGAGTGGGATAGCTGGATCATATGGTACTTTTATTTCTAGCTTTTTAAGGAAGCACTAAATCGATTTCCAAAGGGGTTGTACCATTTTACATTCCCACCAACACTGTATAAGTGTTCCAGTCTCTCCACAACCTCTCTAGCATTTATTGTTTTGTGTTTTTTTGATTAATGCTAGCCTTGGGGTGAGATGGTATCTCATTGTAGTTTTGATCTGCATTTCTCTAGTGGCTAGTGATCAGGAGCATTTCCTCAAGTGTCTGTTAGCCGCCTGAGGTTTTTGTTTTTTTTTTAAATTAAATCACCAGAACTGTAAACTTACTCGGTGATTGTAGGTTAAGCAAAGTGCAGCTTTGGCTCATTTGTACTCTTTGTGTGTGTCTGTGTATGTAACATATGGGGTTTATATTTTAATAGAAATAAAGTAAAAAACACAGATGTATTTCCTTACAGAAAAAAATAATTGGACATTAACAGATCTATTTGTAATTGCATGCTATTTTCCCAATTAAAAAATAATTCCAAGAGTTCTATTCTTTTTTTAGATATGAAAGTGAATATTTATTTACAATGAGAAAAGAAACCACAACAAATTACACATTTTATAAAACTAACACATACCGCTAACATTACAAACATCAATAAAAATAACAATTTTTATTGATTATTTTTATTGGTACCTCTCTAATTCTTTTATTTTCTTTTGCAACTTTTTTGTCTGTACACTCTTATATTACACCAATTTTGTGATATCATTTTCTTTTTTTTTATTGTACGTTAGATGAAGGTTTACAGAGCAAATTAGTTTCTCATTAAACAATTAATGCACATATTGTTTTGTGACATTGGTTGCCAGCCCCACGACACGTCAACACTCTCCCTTCTCGACCTTGGGTTCCCTATTACCAGCTTTCCTGTCCCCTCCTGCCTTCTTGTCCTTGTCCCTGAGCTGTTGTGCCCCATTAGTCTTGTTTTGTTTTGGGCCTGTCTAATCTTTGGCTGAAGGGTGAACCTCGGGAGTGACTTCGTTACTGAGCTAAAAGGGTGTCCGGGGGCCATACTCTCGGGGTTCCTCCAGTGTACTCTTTTTTTTAAAAATTAAAAAGTTTTTTGTTGTGTTTTAGGTGAAAGTTTACGGCGCGAATTAGTTTTTCATTCAAAAATTTATACACAAATTGTTTTGCGACATTAGTTGCAATCCCGTCAATGTGTCAGCCCTCTCTCCCCTTTCCACCCCGGGTTCTCCATGTCCATTTGTCCAGTTTTTCTGTGCCTTCCTGCCTTCTCATCTTTGCTTCCCAGCAGGTGTTGCCCATTGGGTCTCATATAGTTGATTGAACTGAGAAACACGTGCCTCACGTGTGTTAGTGTTTGTTTTATAGCTCTGTGTAATCTTTGGCTGAATGGTGGACTTCGGGAGTGGCTTCATTCCTGAGTTAGCAGGGTGTCTCGGGGCCGAGTCATGTTCTTGCTGCTATGAGAAAGCACCATCTGGGGAAGGTGGCCGGCTGAAGGTTTCACTTTTGACACTCAGAGTAGGGGTTTTCCAGCTTGTGTCAGGAGGGCATTCTAGCAGAGGAACTGGGAGCTTTTCACATTCTAGGGCTTACTGGTAACATTTATTTGGGTCTTCCCTTTCTTTATTAGTCAGTAAAAGTTACTCTCATGGAATTACTCCCTAGTTTTATTATATTATTAAGGGGAAAGAACATGTGGCAGACACTGGTCTTTTAAGCAAATCTTTAGAAAAATTTCCTCCCAAAAAGTGGTTAAGAGAGAGCATGGACTCAAACTAGACTGTTTCAGTTCAGATTCTGGCTCTGCCATTCACTGGCTTTGTGACTTTGGGTGATTTGCTTAACCTCTCTGTGCTTGGGTTTCCTTACCTGTAAAGTGGTGATAGCAATAGTGGCTACCTCATAAAGTTGTTGTGAAGTTAAAATGAGTTGTTATTTGTAAAACACTTGCATCAGTGTAAGCCCTATGAGTGGGGCTCCTGCTATTATCACGTACTGTTTGGTAGGGGAAGAATGGCTGAGAGCATTAGTATGGAGGCCCTGGATAAATTGTTCAATTTGCCTTGATTTGACTCCGCTCCGCTCCAAAAAAGAAAAAAAATCGGTACTATTTTCTGCCCTGCTACTTCCTCCCCTAAAGGTTTCCTTTAATTTATTTATGATCATTTTAGTTTAGGAGAAACTGGATTTTGTTATTTTTTTCTGTATATTATATAAGCATATATAAAATTTCTCAATTACATTCTCAGTTACAAGAGGAAGTTAGTCAAAAGCTTTTATACTTAATTCCCAGCTATGATGTATAGTATCTGTTTAGCTACTTAGATATTAAGCACTTGCTATTCATTTAATCACATCCCTGGGTGACACAAACCTAAAGGTTGGTGGTTCAAACTACCCAGCGATGCTGCAGAAGAAAGGCCTGGTGATCTAATTCTGTAAAGATTACAGCCAAGAAAACCCCTTATGGAGCAGTTCTCCTGTGTAGCACATGAGGTCGTTGTGAGTTGAAATCAACTTATTGGCCAGGGGTTTTGGTTTAGTACTCACTTAGTCATTGCTTTATAAAACACCTAGATGTCCCTTATAACCCATTCATTTTCTTAGGATCATTATTCTTAATATAGGAAAAAGTAAATTTAAGAAAGTTGCCTAAAACCACAAAGTAGATATAAATTAAAAAGCAACATTAAAATATAGGGATTGCTTCCCTCTCCCATTTGCCAGATGTTAGCCAGCTATCAGCTAACTAGACTAGAGGTAGATAACTAGAATCATCCTCAAACACTATTTGCTGAAACTAGGTATGTTTTTTTTTCAGTCTGAGTACTGTGGAGTTCACATCTTTATTGGGAAACTTCGAAGAAGTATGCACATTTCAACAGACGCTCTGCCAAGCCTTAGAAGAATGTTCCAAGTAAGTGTCACATGTTGCCACTAGGATAGTCAGCAACATTGCTTTTGTTTTCTTTTTAACTGTTATCTTAGATAAGGGCACTTGACATGTATGCGCTTGTTACACATTTGCTACATTGTTCCAGAAAAAAAGTCACAATACAGAGAAAATGCACTAGGTCGTAGTGCTCAGAGCATCAAAGCCCTAGTTATGTATCAGGGTTCTACATCCAGTCAATTCTTTCTAACTTTATTGAAAAATCACATTTGTTTGCTGCTTCTGGTCAATATAAGACACACACAAAATCTTAATTGATCATGGAGGCTGCCTTTGCCATTGGTTAGATATTTTGTTTGCTACATTGCAAATGATTGGGAAAAGTCATCCAGAATATTCATTCAGTTTCAGAAGCTAGTTCTTATTAATCACTCCTTGTATCATGTCTATTATATTCATAGTTAAAACACGTAGAAGGCGGAGGAAGGGAAAGTATATCTTTATGTCAACCACAGTGCATCTTTGATGGCTAACTAGATTGTTGAGGTGTGTACATGCATCCTACAGAGTGAACCGTAATGACCATTGAGCAGTATATTTCTATAGCAAGGTTAATTATCCAAGCAGATTTTCTTGGGGGAGTTGGCTACTTTCATCATCTGTAAGGAAATGGAGGGGATTACCTGTTTCTTGAGCTTTGGGGGGCACAGGTGGATGCCCAGAAAAGAAGGTGGAGAGAACCCACGCTGAATGAGACCTGAGGAGCCACTCCGAATGCTGAGAAGGATCTAGATTATTGATCTAGAAAGATATGCATCAAGTGAGACGGCAGCTTACAAATTAAATTCCATTTTTGTAGACAAATATGTAGAAAAAGTCCACGGAATATGCCAAAATTGTTATGGGAGGTATCTCTGAGTGGTGGAATTCTGAGTGATATTTTTTCTTTCTTGTACTTTTTTTGATTTTTCTACATTGAAAATGAATAATTTTCAATTACAAAAAAAAAAAAAAAACCTTAAGGCTATCCTTCTTAGCAACCACCAAGCCACCAAGACTACATAACACTCCTTGTGACATGTCATTTTTTTAAATTAGAGCAATTTTATCTGTACTTGGACTTCATATAAATTAGTCAAGAGTATTTTCAGTGTGCATAGCTAAATTTGAATATAAAAATCTTTAAAAAACAAAAACAACATCTACCTACTAAGTCAAAAAAAGTATCTGATCCTACCTATTAGGGCTATGTTTCATGGCTAGAGTTTAAAGCAATGTTCAAAAACTTGCATTTCACTGATAAAACAGTTATAATACAGTTTCTCTTTTGACTTGGGCAAAAAATTCAAAATGTTTCCATGCTGCCAAGTTTCATTCATTACAATCATCTTCCTTTAATTTACCCTCTGTTTCCTATTTTACATTCTGTGTTTCACCTGTTTTGCTTACAGGTTTCCAGAAAACCAACACAAAGTAGGAGGTTGTCTACTGAACCTGATGCCTCATTTTAAATCCATGTATCTGGCTTACTGTGCAAACCATCCTTCAGCGGTAAACGTGCTCACACAGCACAGGTAAATCGTTAACATGTCCCCAACTCTGCTGTTTAACAATGAGATCCTTTCCTAGGACCACCTCATTTGGAAATCCATGGTCTGCAGTTGAGCTCTTGATTATCCCTGTTCGTGGTGCCAGGAGTGGATTCATTGTTACATGGATTCATTGTTCATTAATCCAACAAATCATCTATTGAGTATCTACTGTGTGTCAGGCCCTGTGCTAGCTGATGGGGATACAGTAGTGAATAAGGAAGATAAGGTCCCTTCCCTTACGGAGCATAGACCCTTGAGGGAAATATAGAAATGAAGTCAAACGTTGTAGACATGTTGTGTTACAAAAGGGTAAGATGCTGTGAGACTTTGCAATTTCTTATCAACCTAGTCAGGGTAGGGTAGTGGGGGTTATCAGGGAAGGCTTTGCTGAAGTGAAACTTTTTTTAAAGCCAATGGTGTAGCATCACCCCTGCTCCCAGTGAATGCTGGATCTGAATTGCTGAAAAATAGCTCAACTGTGTTGTTCATCTCTTCATTTTTTTTTGTCTGGTGGAGGGTGTCCCAAGCAGTGACATGGCTAAGAGGCAGGTATTGGTAGAGAAAGGGGAAGGAAACTAAGACTTACTATGAACTGTCTGTTGAGTAAGCAAAGAGCTCTGATAATACTTTTAAATGAAAACAAATCGTTTCAGCTTCGTGGAGAAGGCTAGAGTAGTGTCACCCTTAAGAATAAGTCCTTGCGAGGAACCTGATTAAGTGTCACATCTCTCCTACCCTTTCTTACCCTCTGACTATCCATCTCTGACACATTCACTGGCCAGAAAACTGCATGGTAGGCTTAAAGACACACTCTTCACTGTGAAGTCCTGTAATAGAAATTCAGGTGGGACAATAGCAAGACCAACACACAGAGGCTCTTCTGACTTAACCTGGAGATTAGATTCAGAATGGCTTCCCAAGATTGAAAAGAACATTCTGCTTTTCACCTGGCCTAGGCTAGAGAGCCCTTAGATTCCTCAACTCCTAGGCCTGGACTAGAACACTAGTTTCCACCTCAGAAGCGGTGGAATTTTTTTTTTTTTTTGGTTCTGGTTTGTTAGGAGCTTTATTGACTTTACAAAGCTGTGTAAACGGATGTTTTTAAGGTAGAATTCAGTAGATCTTACTTGAAAGTCAATTTTATTCCTCTGGTCAAAGTTTTGTAACTCTTGTGGAATAGCAAATATGGAAGTTGGAGTTTAAAGAAAGAGTAGCCATGACTCTGAGTTATTTAGGCAAATAGCTCAAGTGCTTATAGCTAACATTAACTAATAATAGCACTGACAATATGCCAGGCAGATGATATAAAAACCTATGAGGGAATTACTATTATTACCATCTCTGCTTTACAGATAAGACATTGGAAGGCTTAGGTTAAGTAATCTGCCCAGGAACTCATAGCTGTTAAGTGATTGAGTCAGAAATAGAATCCAGGTCTGTCAGACTTCTAAAAAATGTTTTAATTAAGATATATACTATACCTATAAATGGATATGTCATCAGGAAAGACCAATCACTAGAAAAGGACATCATGTTTGGTAAAGTAGAGGGTCAGTGAAAATGAGGAAAACTCTCAAAAACATGGGTTGACACAATAGCCAGAACAGTGGACTTAGACATACCAACAATCATGAAGATGGCACAGGACCAGGCAACGTTTTGTTCTGTTATACATAAGGTCACCATGAGATGGAGTCAACTCAGCAACTGGTGTTTGCTTTTATTTTCCCCACTGTGTAAAGCATCTACTGTTACTCCTCAGAGGGCACAGCCTTGGTCATTCACACAGTCACCCTGGAATTACAGTGGTTTTAGCAGGGCTCTCTTTGACTGTCTATTTACCTGATATCTCTGTTAAGCTATCTGCCCCATTTGATATCACATCCAGCTGGTAAGCTCCACTTATTGTCAGTGGGTTGCTTTGTTGTTTCTGACAATGCCCTGACACATAAATTGCTCCACAGTCTGATCCAATTAAATTCTGGCAGGGGCAGTTTTTGAGGACAATCTCTGAGGTTTGTCCTGACCCCAGGAGGGTACTTCTTAGCTGTCTCTTTCCCTGGTTCTCTCTGGTGACCTCGCTGTTTACTTAGCTTGTTACTCTTAAGAGGAGCTACCAGATTCCTTTTATTTGTTTACTACCAAGATTGCCATTGTTTTTGTGAGCACCTTTAAGCTTGACTTACCTCATACTCTGTTTCAAATAGAGTCAATTTGAAATCTTCTGATGAGATATTGCATCCCTTGATTGGGAGATGAGACGAGAGGGAACCCTTTCTTGGCCATACTTGCCTAGAGTTCAGCTGGGGGTAGGGAGGGCAGAGAGAGTGAGCTGTGGCTCAAGTGCCACAAACTTTCCCTGTTCTGATTTTTAGTAGATTTTCTTGAATAAATGTTTCTTTATATGCCATATGCTGTTAGGACAATTTCCAGAGACTTTAAATGGTTGTTCTCTTATCCCCACCAGTTATGCTTGTTTTGCTGGGGAGCAGGTCCGTGAAGCTCTTCACAGGCCATCCTGGCAGTGGAACACCTCACCATTTCCTTTTAAGCCCCTACATGCCCCTTTCTGATCTGAGCCTAAACTTTTCTTTAAAACCACTTTTAAACTGTCTCAGTTCTTAATTTTGCCACTTATCAGCTGTGTTACCCCAGGTGATTCACTTAACGTCTAAGCTTTGGATTCCTCACCTGTAAAATGAGGATAAACTCACCTACCTTGCAGGGTTGGTGTGAGGATTGAATGACATCATGCATACAGACTACCTGGCATATAGCACAAGATGGTTGCCGCCCGCCTCCATATCTACTTTACTCATCTTCTACCTACTAGTTCCTAGTCCCTTTTAAAAAAATGAAATATTTCAGGCATACAAAAGAACAGAGAGATAGTATAATGGACACACATGTACCCACCATTCAGCTTAAGAAACAGATTATAGATGCAACTGAAGCCCTGTTGCTATGAGTTGGAATCAACTCGACAGCAAAGGGGTTTTGGTATACTCTCCAGTATTTCCTGTCCCTTCCTCCCTCAACAGAGGGAACCACAGTCCTGAACTTTATTTTGTATCATTTCTAAGAATGTTTTCATACTTTACTACACAGCCTCAACAAAGACAAAAATGGTTCAGTGTACTTTTCCTTTGATGAATACATAAACATCCTGCACGCATAAGGGCAAATTCCTTAATACTGATAAAATGAGACGCCCCTCCCCTTCATGTTAACTTACTATTTATATGAGCACAGATTCTTTTCCTTTTGATTTAGGAAGAAAAAAAAAAAATCTTAGAACAACATTTCTGGGTAAATACCAGAAAGAAATGGCATACCTTAGATGGCAGACTTTCTGTGATGGTTAGAGAGATTTCTGTTGTAACTCTGTGTGCTAAAGTGTTCCTGACTACATTTACTTATGTTAGGAATTTAATCTTATGAATAACAACTATAAATGGAAGAGTTTCAAGCTGGAGGCACTTGTGTCAGACATAAGAATGATGGGGCCAACATGCATTCCCAGGAAGTAAAAGGTCAGGATGTAAACCATTTGTTCATGCGAAGAATGTGTCAAGATGTAAACAATTTGTTCCTGGGAAAAATGTGTTCATGACTGCAATCATGTATAACCAAACTGGCTGGCGCCACTCACCTAGGTGGTGACTCACTCCCTCCTAGCCAAGAGGCCGACCTTTACATTTCAAAGGACTTCAAGCTGAAGCTGATCTTATCTATAATAAATCACTAACCTCTTACCATTCCTTTCTTCTCTATGTATATAGAACCCTCTCTCCACCTGAATGCAGAGTGCTTTGTATTTTTACTTAGTGCTGCCCAGCTCAAGCTGTATTATTCCTCAATAAAGCTCCCTTGCTTTCACTCCTAACAAATTATAAGATTTTCTTCTTTGACATGATAGAGGCTCCTTCAAACATGATTATTTACAAATTTGTTACATAGTTTATCTAAAGATTCTCAGACCTTTGGGTTTGCCTTGATTTTTGTTAGTGATGTTTTTGAGAATTTTAGAATATGCCTTGAAATGATGGAAGACTCATTGGAGTCCCCACAGAACTGAATTTTTACTTCATTGGTTTATTTACATATAAGGGATGAAAATTAAAACGCTTGAGGTTTTCCCCAGATGTGCTTCTGATATAATCTCAGCTATTTTGCATGCATCTTATGATAATTTATGTTGACACATTAGAGGCAGAACATTGTTGTTGTTGTTAGTTGCTGTCTAGTTGGCTCCAGCTCGTGGCGACCTTACGTATAACAGAATGAAGCGTTGCCTGGTCCTGTGCCATCTTCATGATCATTGGTATGTTTGCGTCCATTGTTGTGACTGTTGCGTCAATCCATCTCACTGAGGGTTTTCCTCGTTTTTGCTGATCCTCTACCAAACATGATGTCCTTTTCTAGTAATTGGTCTTTCCTGATGAAATGAAAAAAGTAAGTGGGCCGAAGTCTTGCTATCCTCGCTTCTAAAGAACTTTCTGGTTGTATTTCCATAGTTGAATAAAATTCATGGAGAGTTAGGATGAAGATCTTGTTCTAAATAGGGGAACATTGGTGGGTTTCTGTCGTTTCCCTGGTTGGTCTTGTTTTTTAGGTGCTCAGAGGCAGGGAAATCACTCAGAGCCTGAGCAAGCTAGTCAGGTGAATTTCTTCATGATGACCTGTAGGTGGCAATATTATACCAGAAATGCTAATGACAGTGGCACTAAGAAAGCATTTAGCTTTAATATTGTATGATTGCATGGAGGTGCCTTGTTAAAAATGCAGTATTATATTACCTGAATTTGGATATGTAAGCAGACCTCAACCTTGATGTGCCCGTCATATTTACATATATTTGAAAGGCAGCCCCGAAGACCCACAGAAACTCTTGTTATCCCCGGATGGGTCTTTTGTGATTTCTCCCCTCACTCCCCTTCTGGCTTGCTCCTGTAGCTCCTCTTTCTACCTGGGAATAACCTCTCCCGTACAAAAATACCCACTTCTCCTCCTGTGCTTCAGTGTAGCGTCCATCCTTTTCATGAGGCAGAGGGACCCAGGGTTGAAAGAGCAGAGGAGGAGGGAGGAGGCACCAAGACAGATTTGGATCTTACTTCCATCTCTGTTGTAGTTACTACCACTGTATACTTTTACTCTTGTTAGTTTTATTCACTCTCTATTTACCACTGTTATCAGTAAAAGAAGACTTTGCAAAAACCTCAGAGAGTTGTGTCCTTGCTTCGGAGACAAGGCGTGTAAGAAAATTTCCGAGACTAGGTTCTGTTCTGTTTCTATCTTTAAGGAACTAGGGAAGGGAGCAAGAGAGACTGATCACAAACAGAAAGTGGTGGGGGAAAAAAAAAAAAAAGAAGCAGACAGCGTAATCCCTGGGGCTGGACATAAGAAAAAGGGCTAAGAGTGATCCATCCAACCCAGTGTGAGTGGCATTCTTGGGATTTTCCACTGGCCCAAGGCCCAGGCCACCCAGCAACTCATGCCTCTCCTTCTCTTTGTAGGCCACAGCAATTCCCATGAAAGGTTCGGGGTGAGGAGAGAGAGTGTGTGGTGAGGGGGAATCCTTTATCCCTTTGCTAGGACTGCTCTAGGGATAGATATGATCATTCAGATTAGAAATCTATACAAAGACTCCACAGAAACTCTGTTTTATAAGATGGTTAAGTTCTGTAGTGCTATTATAATGTACAATAGTTTTCTTGAGCTCCCAGCCCAACCTAGAATGTACCAGAACCCCATCCACCATGCGTTCCATGAGATAAATATATGCTGAATTTCGAACAACATTCATATGTTGACAACCACTGCTATTGTAGCACATCATATTACGGAACATGTTAAGCTTGAAAAGCAAGTCTTAACTCACCAACATTTCAAAGAGGCTGTATAAGATTAAAAGCTGTATTTTTAAGACAGAGGTTGTTCTTTGGTGTAAGAATATATGGTTAATTGTGTGTTATATTTATTTGCGTAAGTTAAATGTGTCTTTTAGGATCTATTTATCATAATGGGCAGTGGTTTTAAAAGACAGTTTTGTTCTTTTTTTTGCACTAGTAAAATTTTCTTTTCTTCTCAATAACCAGTGTTTATAAGATAGTGATTTTGTGTTACATTGAAAAAATTTAAAAATTGTTTTATAATATTTGGCAAGCCTGACATTAGAGTGCTGCATGGAAAGCAATAACAAAATACACTTTAGCATTTGCTTTTAATTGTTGTAACCCGTACATCAATTAGAGTAGAACGTTACATCAATTAGAGTAGAACGTTACATCAATTAGAGTAGAACGTTACATCAATTAAAGAAGAACGTTAAGGATGCAGGCAGTCATTTAGTCATGGAAAGAAAAAATAAGATTTGTTTATCAAGTTGGAAAGAAATTGGGAAAGTGATTTTCTCTAAATTACATTTCTACTAAAATGCACTCTCCAAATCTGAATTATTTTTCTAGTTGTATTTTATATGCAATGAATTTTTAAACTTCTCTATGCTCTGGACTGGAAATTAAACATCAATTGAATTTCCATTAAGCTGGAAATCACAGGTACTGGTAGTTTTTAAAGATATGATTTTAGCAAGGTATTTGCCTTGGAATAAGAATAGTAAAAAAAAAAAAAAAGCATCTATTGATTACTTTCAAATTTACAAAATACTTTCCTGTAGAAAGGCAGTGTGGTGCCATGGAAAGACCTGAGGCTTTGGCTTCAGATCTGGCGTGAACCCCACCTTAGCCACATACTAGCTGTTACCCTTCCTGAGTCTCAGGTTCTTCGTCTGTACATGGGGATAACACCTCTGTAGAAATGTCATTGTGAATATGAAACAACGTCTTGGTCTTTGTAGGCCACAGCAATTCCCATGAAAGGTTCCGGGGTGAGGGGAGAGAGTGTGTGGTAAGGGGGAATCCTTTATCGAATGCATGTAAAGATCTTAGCATGAAATAGTAGACTAAAAAAGCCCAATATTTAATCTTCACAATTATGTTAGGAGTAGGTTTCAGCTCTATTTTACAGATGAGTCCGCTGAGGCTCAGGTAACTCATATTTACTTCCCTCCTCTCAGCTGCTTCTGGAGCAAAATTGCAAAAAGTGACAAAATGGTCAGCATTGACTGTGCAATGTGGCCACTCCAATAAGATCTAGCTTCTGCTAAGGCAGTGACTCTGGCCCTCTTTCCCTATCATACACACACGACACTGCATGGCTCAAAGCTGCCCGGAGCAGTAGCTGAAACTCCATCCCTTTCTCTCTTACTCACAAAAGCCTGGGGAGGGAGAACTGTCTATTATGCATAGGGAGAACCTGCAACGCACCCCATTCCCAACCCCCTTAGTACTTTAATTATTACTGAGAGCAAGTTTCTTTGAACACACTTCACAACCTGTTGCAACATACCACAGTTGGGGAACCACTGCATAAGACGTGTTCTAGGGAGGATAAGTAGGTCACTTTGCAGTAGAGGGTTCCTGTTGGGGTGTGGTGAGAAAGGTTGGTGGGGCCATTAGGCATCTAAAAAGTTTAGATTTGATCTTGTAGGCAATTAGAGGATCTTGAGTAAGAAAGCAACTGGGTTCAAGTGGTGGTTTGCAGGATGGTGTAGAGTCAAAATAGCCTGGAAACTGGGAGATCAGTTGGACTATTGAAGTGGACCAGGTGGGATGAAATGAAGGCCTGAACAAAGCTAGTAGCCGTGGGAATGGAATGGAATAAACATTTACAAGAAGACTTGTGACTGACCGGATATGCATGGGCAAGCAAGGAGGTGAAGGGGTCAAGTGATAAAGCAGAAGTTTCAAAATATGCTGCCATTTAGGCAGTAGCTTTCCTTCTCTAATTACATTTTGCTTAAATCTATTTTTTAATATAATTTTATTTATTTTGTTGTTGTTGTTGAGAATATACACAGCAAAACGTATACTAATTCAACCATTTCTCCACGTACCATTTAGTGACATTGCTTACATTCTTCGAGTTGTGCAACCTTCTTTCCTGAGTTGTTCCTTCCCCATTAGCATAAACTCACTGCCCCTTAAGGTTCCTATCTGCTAGGTAAGCATGGGGATCTTATTTTGCTGCATAAACAGGAAAACTAGAAGCCTGGGAAGAGGGAAGATTGACTAAAGCCAATTTGGAGACCAAGACATTTTCTGAATTTCTCAGCAAATCTTCCGAGTTGATGTTGTCAATTTGATCCCATATAGATAGTTCTTAAAAGAGCGTAATGCTCAAGGCAGTTTTTACTAGTTAAGCTAAACTATTGTTTGGTTGTTTCAATGTATTTTAAAATGATCTTAGAGCCACAGGACTTAACATACCTGTTGATGGAAAGAAGATGGTCCAGAAGGATGCTGAAGGCCAGAGAGCACATAAGCTTAGAATTAGACATTTATAGGACATAGTTCATAAAATATTAATAGTTTTTTTTTTTAACCAAGTGGTTGCCTTATGGAAATGTTTGGGTAGCCTGCTATCCTGGTTTCAGATTCTAGGCTAAGATACTTTGTGGTTAGTCATACAAACATACCGGTATCTGAATTCAGAACTTGATTCTAGAACATTCCAAGTGGACACTCCGGTGATGGGGAGCACTTGTTGAGTTGCTACCCTGGGCGTCTGACAAGCCAATACCAACAGTGTTTGAAGTGACTAAGAAAATATATATTTTCTAACTTTTATGTTGACGTTATCTGCTAGGCTCTATGCCCCGTGGGTGCATGCCCTTAAGGGTAGGTGTTTTTGTTTTGTCCATTGCTTCATCCCCAGCATCCAGAGCAGAGCCTGGCACTTAGTAGCTGCTCAATACATAATTGTCGGGAGAGTACATGAGGCCAGGAATAATGAGTGTCTAGCTCACCACTGGATCCCCAGTCCTGGGCACAATGCTGGGTGCATAGGAAGAGCTGAATAAAGGTTTATTGAATTGAGTTGAAATGAACAGCATTTAGACAAGTGAAACAAGTTTTTACTTGCTTTTTGTATTATGTGAGATACAGCAAACTAATGTTAGGTTGATGATTCTTTACATGGAGTATTAAACAGTGACAAAACTATATATATATATATTTTTTTCTAGTGATGATCTGGATCAATTTATGGAAAGTCAAGGTGCCTCCAGCCCAGGTATCCTCATTTTAACAACAAGCCTCAGCAAACCATTCATGCGACTGGAAAAGTATGTTACTCTCTTGCAAGAGCTGGAACGGCATATGGAGGTAAGTGGAGGCGAGCTTTTTAAGCGTGTGTACAATGCGTGGGCCTCTATTCTGGAGGAAGCAGTCAGCTGCCTCCACACTAGCCTTGCTGAGAAATTCAGAAAATGTCTTGGTCTCCAAATTGCCTTTACTCAATCTTCTCTTTTCCCAGGCTTCTAGTTTTCCTGCTTATGCAGCAAAATAAGATCCCATGCTTACCTAGGAAATATTTAGGCTCATTCTCCCTGCCTTGGTCCTGTTGCTTCCCTCAAGGCTGTTCTAACTTGTCGACTTAGGTTTTCTTCTGCCCTCTCTTCTGGAGAAGGTGGGTGGATCAAATCAGACCAAGAAACCGTCTGTTGTTCTGGTATCATAACCAACTTTACTGAGTAGATGAAGAAAGCAAAACAGCAGAAAATACAAAGAACACTTTCACTCTAAATAGAACATTTCTCTCCAGAGCACTGTGATCGTTCATCTTTCTGACTCTGGATTGCAACAGAAGAAGAGTCAGGTATTTTCTTAAAGATTAGTAAATGGATCCAATGTTAGTTTATCTCTGTATGCATCAATCCATCTACCTCAAAATCGCCTCACTTTTTTAAATTTATTTATTTTTATTGTACTTCAGGTGAAGGCTTACAGAACAAATAGTTTCTCATGAAACAGAAGTACACATGTTGTTTTATGACATTG